TTGAAGCTTCAATACGGCCGTATTAAGTTTAGTACGGCCGTATTGGGCTTCATTCCCTCCACTTCCTTATTTTAAGCTACTCTAAGACCTCTAAACCTACAGATAGCCATCCTATGGTCTTCTAGGAGTCCTTCTGGCTGACTTTCCTTCGATCTTTGAGGGTCTTCGAGTTTTATTTCCGACCCGGACAATTTTAGGGGTCTACAGTCATCAATTTAACAGGACATATTTTCTACACACAAGAAGACTTTGATAAAAAAAGAATGATCTTATTTTTGGATATTCATCCCAATTCTATATTGATCAATACTTATCTAAATCGACCACTTAATCAAATCATTAACTTTGATACTACAATTAGCTTAAAAAATAAAATCAAGTATATAATAAAAGAGCAAGAATGAGAAATGTCTTTCTCTATATTCAAAAAAGGAATAATCTTGTGTATATTAAATAGGCCATTAATTGACAAGTTAATCATTCATACACTGTCAGTGTAAAGTTTTTTACACTGAGAGTTTATAAATGATTAATTCTAAATTGACGGATACTCCATAGAATCATGGACATTATGCATAATCTGAAAATTGAAATTAAACTCCTAAATTGAAAATTGAAAACAGGTAAACTAATTGGAGTAAAATTCTCCTAGACTCTCAGTCAACATAATCCTACTCTCTATGAATAATGAGTTCTCCGAAACCAAATAAAACATGGAAATAATATTGTAGCTATACCCTTCATCATATCTTGACTAGCAAAAGGAAGAAATTAATTCTTGCATTGTGGATTTTGTTTTATAGATTTACCTACACGAAGAAGCAGAAGTCAATTTGAATTTCCATTGGTACAAAATTACAAATCTTTGATAAATAGAAGTTTCAATATTTCTATTCTAGCTCTAAATATTCATAAACCGTGTATGACATCTTGAGTCCTCAAACATAAGTGGACAAGACACTAAACATGGATATGATACCGTTCTCCAATGTTGAACAAAATGGATGGGGCAAAACAAAATTTCCATGCAATTTGCAACATGTTTTGGAAGTCTCTCATTGCTTGTTGAATTTATTTTAGAGCCATGGAGATTCCAACCTTAGGGAGCTTCTCTTTATCTTTGATGTTCAAGTTCATCTCACCAGCCACGGTTATGGAAAACTTCTTCCCAAAGTTTTGTCGAATAAGAGCACCAACCTTGCCAGAGGAGTCAAGTCGAGCCTTAAGCAACGTCCAAGGAAACAATGCATGCTGAGCACCAACGGTCACACCACGAGTCTCATCATCTGCAAGGTCATACTTCACCTCTGCTGCAAGTGCAGTCTTCGTCAAGGGATTCACTTCAAAATAACACGAACCTTTCAAAATTTGAAAATTCTCATGCCTGCATAATTGACATACACCAAACTTCAGCATCACACTACCATTTGGTTTAATTTGAATAAAAAACATAATACTGATCACAGAGCAGTGAGCAGAACTCACTAGAGGCAGCCTAATAGTGAAAGTTTTGGATAATTTCTATAAAGTTATAGGTTCTATGTAAAATAAATAAATAAATAAAAATGAGCACAAATATTAAATAAGTTTGTCAGATTTAATTGTGCTTAATGTGGAGGTGGATAGATGCTCCTAAAGTGGAGGTGGTAAGTGTTCTTTATTAGTGTTAGTTACTAAAATGCATGAACTGAGATTGAACTACAAGCAAAAGCTGAGTTGACAACATGGAAAGTTGAAGTTTAAGCTGACAGGATATTTAAGGTGTTAATACCACAATAAGTGCTCAAGCAGACAAGCTTTTATGCATTACAGAAAATATTTGGATACAAGTTCAAAAGAGTGTTTTCTGGGTATTTCTACTAGAAAAAATTATTTATTTTCAGAAAAAGAAGTTTTCAAAAACTCTTATAAGCTTGTATTCAAAGAGGCTTATAAATTGATTCTTAGGTTTTTGTAAGATAACAGATATGATGTTAGTGTACATTTTCTGATAAATTTAGTGTCTATTACAGTGTAGCTCACAAGGTCATGGTAGCGACAAGGTAGGGACTATTCAGGCTCAACCCAGCATTCATATTGCTAGTTTCCCTTCTTGACAAGTCATAGTCAAGATTAGCTCCCAAGGTGAGAATTCTGGTTCCTATAAGTCCAGTGATGTTTGCAACAGGGTTGTATCCTTTTTCTGGGTCTCCCAATAATCCAATGCTTCCAGAAAACCCACTGAATCTATTCAAGTGTTGAAGTTCCACCTGTAATTGAATTCAATTTGATTCCATAAACTAGTTAGATTCAATGAAAATCAAGACTCGAAATTGTTAAAGATGAAACTAATCATGGTAAGTAGACTAGTATGATCTAGTTGTACCTTTCCAGAATCAGGTAAGTTACAATTGAAAAGTCCCCTTAGTCCAGGCACAAGTTCTTCTACTACAACAGATACACCATCAGTACAGTCAGATATGAAATTCCATAGCTATTTCAGGGTTATGAGATATAACATTTTTCTTATGATGTAATGGACATCTTTGAGGACTATTTGGTTCCCTCTATTTCTATGCCAAATAAATAGCACACCAAACTAAGCCAAATAACATGTTAGATAAATTTTTCTCCCTCACAAATGACATGTAGTTGGACACAAAAAAATGTCTACAGTTCCCTAATGGACCCTTCAGTAGACTAGAATTACATGTAGATTACAAGTAACATGCTTTAAACAAAAGTAAAAAGAAGAGAAAGAGGGTTCAAGATGATATATTATTACCTTGACAGGAGAGATCTAAATTCCAATTCAAGGATCTGTAGTTAAAGTGAATTGGTGGTTGTTGAGCATAGTCCTTGTGAAGAACATCTAACATAGACATAAAAGGTAAACAATCAGATCAAAATCAATGCTAATGAAAGATTAAAATGAAAATGAAAGAGGGAAATAATTGGCATAAAAGAAATTTGTAAAACCTCTGGCCTTCTTTCCAATATCAAAATATAAGCCCGGACTCTGGCTCATTTTGCCATGAAGAATGCTTACAAGTCAATTATATTCTTAGTTTATTATTTATTAGAAAAAGAAAAGTGGCAAGAGTACAATTGGCTTGTGCATCATGCGATGTTTCCTCGTGAGAATAGGACAATCGATTGAGCACCGTATAAAGCGAAATTTCCAATAATCAATTCTAACTACATATCGTTTATAACAGTGAACATGAGACATAGAGATGATGACGAATAGAAGAAGAGTAAAAGTTAAGCTAGCTATATAACGATTAATGCTAATAAAGTTTGAACTGAGTAAACTACACAGAAAGCGTATTATGTTAAATCAAAGCACAAGAAGATGAATAATTAAGGTTAAAACTACTTAAAAATAATTTTCTTCATCTATACATAATTGTACACCTCTCACAAATTAACACACACAAGTTGAAGTAAGGGGTCGTGTAAGGAAAAAATCTTTTTTAATCAAGCTTGTACTAGTTGAATCAACTATCCATCAATGATTTCTTACCTTCATTAACAATGTCATCATTTGAGTTTATTATCCCACATTCTTTGTTCAACTCATTTTATTTTTTCACATAAATATTTATGATTGTGTTTAACTATGTAAGCTAAAAGATGTCCTGTCAAATTTTTGTTGTAGTTGAGACACCGACACAATACTGGGGTTTACATTAGGGATGACAACGGGACGGGTCGGGTACGGGTTTTATGATACTTGTCTCCGTTCCTGCGACATAAACCCATCTCCGTACTTGTATCCGTACTCGCCGGGTATGTAATTTTCATCTCCATCTCCATTCTCGTCGGGTAACGGGTATACCCGTACCAGTAAAAAATTATTTTTTTTTTGCAAAAAAAATATATAATATTTTTAAATTATTTTTTTTATTATATTATAATTATAATTAGATTATTTCTTTATCTCATATTTTAATCAAGAGATTTCTTAATAATTATACAGCTATAAATATTTCACATTATAATAAATAATTACACATAATAAAATATAAATTTTTTTAATATAATTAAATCGGGTACGGGTACGGGTACGGGTACGGAGCGGGTATGTATATACCCATACCCGTACCTGTACCCGATTTAATTTATCGGGTTTTACCCGTACCCGGTCAAATCAGATATTTTTCGTTAAAATCAGGACGAGTTCGAGTATTACCTACGGTACGAGTTTATTTGTAATCCCTAATTTACATCGAGTTATGTAATAAAATCATTATTGCTTCACTCTTAAGCTGACTTCATTTATTAGTGATTTGGTACATTTTTGTAAGCATTTTATACCAAAATCATTACTTAAGTTCCGTCTCATTTATGAATGATAACACATTCCTTGTTTTTCAATTTTCTCCAACATGGCACTTCTTAAATCTAAATTCTTTAGGCTCAACTAATTTTTATATGGTATTATTTTTTTATATATAAATTGATGACTATATATTACATTAGAATTAGTCAAAATCATAAAGACAATTAATAATCTAAAATTATTAATGATTTCTCCTACTAACCACCATGGGAATTGGCAACAAGGTCTGATCTGGCGAAGCCTTCGCCGTAGTTGTGATACATTCGGGTTTTATTATGCTTATTGATGATTTTTGAACAAAATTATTATCAACATGTATTATATTTTTTTAGTGTATGAGTGGAAAAAAGAAAGAAATAAATACAAAAATTAAAAGTACGAGAAAAAATTATGAACATGATAAATAATATAAAAATAAATATTGAAACAAAAATTAAATATATAATAGCAATTTTTTTTTAATCTTTTATGATAGTTGTATTTGTATTTAAAAACTCTTCAAGTTAATTTTTACATTACCACGAACAAAATTATCAGCGAATTGGAAAATTATTAAAAAAATGTTAAATTATGAAAAAGTTACTAATATATTCTTATAGCATTTTATCAAACTAGTATATTTACTCCTATAATGTATGGTATTTGATTTAATATATATTTTATGTGATAATAAATATTTTAAAAAATAAGTTAATTTTATTAGTATTATATTTTAAAGTATATTTTATTTTATTAGAAAAAGTTGATTATATAATTTTATAAATTAATGTATACAATACTGAGTTTAATATATTTTTTGACTCTGTTATAACTAATGTATATATTAACAACATTTTTTACATCAAATATTTGATAATGAATACTTTAATTTGAAATCACATAAAATTGGTTTATATACTGTTGGTATGTATTTTTATACTGTAAAATGTAATATAAGTTTTATGTTATATTCCTTGACATTGAACCTTGTAACAATAAAAATACTATTTTGATGTTTGACGTAAATTTATTGAAAAAAATAAATACTAATAATAATCTTATGAGAAATAACAATATGAGAAAAGT